TTTTCTTGAATTTTCAAATCAGTGAAAAACATGAATCTTGGTATTTTCTATGAATAAGGGCATGCTTAATGAAGTATAGATGGGGTCACTTCTGTGAAGTATAAACTGTGTCTCTAACAGCAGTGACTATGTACTGACTCCTCACCTCAATGATGATTGTTCAAGAATAGCTAATTGTGTTTCTTCTATTCATCTGAAACATGTTGTGTAACTCTCCTTTGCAAGCATGGAATGACACAACTGTACTCTCCCTTGCAGATCTCTGAGAAGAATTTAACTTTGGTGTACTGCTTTCTAAAGCATATGTAGGCCGCTCTGCTGCTTTCATGGCAGATTTTAAGTTCAATAATTCAGTGACAATGAGCATCAGCGGTCTAGAGACTGAGCACTTCTGCTTTGTGGGAACATCCAGATAGCATTTTTTGAATCTGTTTTCATGCAATCAAAGATCACATTCTGACTGGGAGAAATTAAGACATTCCCAAGAAACATGTGTCCCTCCACTTGGCTCTCAGAATATTGAAACAATGAACCCCAAAGAAAAGAGGCTTTTTTCCCCCAGAACTTCATACCAGGAGAAGGAAAGTGTCCCAACCTATGGGACACTTGTCTCCAGTGAAAAGAATTCACACGATTGTTAGAGCCTGGCAGACTACCTTTTATGATGAGATTGAAGCCCAGAGAAAGATGGGTCAATGGTGGGCAGGACAACATCTCAGCCAGGACTGTTTCAATGTGCATGCCCTTAGGCCTTTGTTTAACCTTTAATCTTATTTCAGGACCCCCAGGAAAACTTAAAGATACAACAAACTCAGTTGTATCTCTGTTCATCTTTTAAAAGTGGCCATAGTGAAGAAATGTGCTTTTTCTGATACTGATTTGACTTATCAGGATAAGTGCTTGAACATGATATGGTGCAAAGACTGTCATCTCAAGTTTCATAGCAACACTGCCAAAGAGAGTAACGTATTTCTGCAGTTTCTTCCTCCTTCCTAGAAATCTCTTAAAGTACCTGGTTATTACCTGCTTTTTTACTTTATCAGGGTCTATGTTCTTAAGGTTTTCATTGCTACTTGAAGGAACATTCATTTATTCAGAATCTTACAAATTTTTATTCACTATAAAGACTGTGAAAGGGCATGAACTTTAAAAAACAGTGTTCATTTCAATCCTATAGCCCGTAATTTCCTGATAGGTTGAGTGTCAGTCTTGCTACAGAGGAGACAAATATCACTGATTCTGCCAGTCACAGAACCCATAGTTGCTGTTGTCTATCTCAAACACCAGGCACATGTTCCAAAATCAGTTTCTCCATTCCAAATTCAGGGAGCTGCTGTAACCTTGCACCTCTACTAAAATCTCTTCCCCAGCTCTGTGCCTTGCAACTTCTAGCACTTCGGCAGGTCACATAGGATAAAATTAATCTCCCACAACCTTCCAATCCTGGAAGAGTCAGAATGAGGGCTGCTCTTGGCCCCCAGGATCCCATAATGTGTTACCTTAATTTTTTCTACTTCAGAATCTTATCCTGGGTGTTTGTGACCTTGAACCTAAAACTTTTCTTAATAAGGCTCTTTGGAAGGGTGCATTTTTCTCAGCTTTTCTTCCTGTAAGCCTGCTTTTCTGTGCAACATTTACAACTTGCAATTTTGGGAATGATGTGAGTCATCAAGCTGTGATTTCTTTAGATTCTATAGTCATCATTTTAGGCATATTTCCACACTATAACATCAAGAACAGTTATATTACCTGATTTTGATATTTATAGTGAAAGGCTTTGGGTACAGATTTAATAGGGACTCTAAGAAGGATGTTTTGGATGTTAAGAATTATATTAGATGCATTTTATTTTTTATATTTATTTTTTAATCTATTGACTAGGTCAGAGCTTTATTGAGATGTGTTTCAATAACTAAGCCTTTTAAAAATTCTTTTTAAAATTAATTGCAATTTATTCACTTTGTATGCCAGCTGTAGCCCCCTCCCCTGGCAATCCCACTCTCCTCCCTCTTCTCCTCCCTTGCCCCTCCTCCAGTCCACTAACAAGGGCAGTCCTCCTCCCCTTCTATCTGATTCTAGCATATCAGGTCTCATAGGACTGGCTGCATCTTCTTCCTCTGTGGCCTGATAAGGCTGCCCCCCCCCTTGCCTCTTAGGGAGAAGTGATCAAAGAGCCAGCCACTGAGTTAATGCCAGAGACAGTCCCTGTTTCCCATACTAGGGAAACCACTTGGAAGCTGATCTGCCATTGGCTACATCTGTGCAGGGCTTCTAGGTTATCTCTATGCATGGTCCTTGTTTGGAGTATCAGTCTCAGAAAGACCCTCCAGGTCTTTTTATCTCCTCCTTCTTTTATAAGATTCCCTGCACTTTGCCCAAAGTTTGGCTATGAGCCTCAGCATCTGCTTTGATAGGCTCCTGTCCTGTTCCCTGTTTTCTCCCTTTTCCAATGTCTATCCCATTTGTCTTTCTGAATGAGGATTGATCATCTTACTCAGGGTCCTCCTTTTTGCTTAGCTTCTTTAGGTGTACCGATTTTAGTATGTTTATCCTATATTATAAGTCTAATATCCACTTATAAGTGAATATATACCACGTGTTGTCTTTTTGCTTCTGGGATGCCTCACTCAGGATGATCCTTTCTAGTTCCATCCATTTACATGCAAATTTCATGATTTCCTTGTTTTTAACTGCTGAGTAGTATTTCATTGTGAAAATATACCACAATTTCTGTATCCATTCCTCAGTTGAGGGACATCTGGATTGTTTTCAGATTCTGGCTATAACAAATAAAGCTGCTTCTAACATGGTTGAGCAAATGTCCTTGTTGTATAGTTGAGCATATTTTGGATATATACCTAGGAGTGGTATAGCTGGATCTTGAGTTAGCACCATCACAGAGACATATAGCAGGACATGGTGGGAGACTCCAAAGAGAATTTAGAAACCAGTATCACAGAGAAACCATGTGGGGCACTGAAGACACAAATTTAGCCCATAGTGGGTCAAAGTCATGCTCTTTTTGTTATAGCTCTCTGGCATAATGAAAAAATTCATAACACAATCTGAACCAGCATAGTGACTGAGGAACAGAAAATGTGACCACCAATATCCCCCTTGATATAAACCCACATCCCCAGGTAAGAGATCCTGACACATGACAATGTCTCTGTTGGGTGCCTGTGTCTGTGAGGAAGTGTGGACTGCTCTGGGATCCCTGGCAGAAACAACAGTGTTGTTTGTGTAACAGTATAAGGTACAGCTTAGCTCAAGATTAATGAAAGGGAAAAAGTTGTCCCATGATCAAGCATGTTTGTGCTTAAGGGAAGTTGTCACAAAATTCTTCCTTCTTTGGTACTACTTAAGAGCACCATGGTCTTGTACCCTGAGAAGATTTGCACTTGAGTTTTCTGGTTATCACATTGTACACCTCAGAGAATTTCATAATGTGGTCTAGGTTACAGAAAAATACCTGATAAAAGTTGTAAAAACAAGATAATTTTCTGTTTAGACATCATGTCCTACAGCTGCTCTCAGAGAGGTTCTCCTAATTATCTCTGTTTTCTTAGGACTAACAAGAAAACCATATTTATTTTTGCATGGTACAGTTTTGTGAGTGTGAGATCTGTCATCACATGCAAGGAAAATAGCTTAAAATTATAAGTTAGCCTGTGATTGAAGACCATATGAATATTGTAACTGACATGAATCCATCCAAACAACACTTAGTATTTAAATTTTGGGATAAGCGAACAGGAGGGTTTGTTATTTTTGATGATGTGAGTGAGGTCACTAATTTCATGATAAGACATGATTTGACATTTTAGTATGAGTGCCAGAAAGAAGGTTCAAGAACTAAGGTGTTTGCTGCCATGCTGCTGACCTGATTTGTCATCCTAAGGATCCATATGGTGAAAAGACAGAAGAAGTTGTCTTCTGCCCTTCACTGGTGTTGAAATGCATACCCTTACAACATACATAAGTAAATAAAAAGAAGCTTATAACAGACTGTTTTGAGTATGAGGGTAAAGCCAAAATTTTAAGATAATGAGAGAAATTAAAAGAAAATTCAGTATTGGATATAATAGGAGAAGAAATTTAAGATGACTCAAAAGCATACTAGTATTTCAATTTTTAAAATATTAGCTGCAGAAATGACTATAATTTATCTTCTTCGTAAGCATTAGTTACTGTTCTTATAACTATCTTTAAATTCATCTACTAGATAACTATAATTCATTTCATATATTATGTGCATGTGTATTGTACACATATTCATATATATTATACACATATCCATACGGCAGATGGAAGTACTAGGGATTAAATACAGGACATTGTACATGCTCATATATGCTAGGCTAATCTACTGCTAAGCTGATTTTAGACTTGAAGGCTTTGTCTTTTATAGGTATGATTGGCAAAGGTTTATGCTAGAATTTTCTGTTTTTTTTTCATTTTTTTGTAATTTTTCATCTCATTAGCTTTTTAATTTTATATTTCTCAAGAACACTTACACATATGTACATGTGTTTTTCTCACATTTTCTTCATCTTACCTACTATGCTATCCTCCCCTCATTTCTCTGTTTAGTATTCTTCTCACTAAAACAAGATGCCCCTCTATTTTCACATTATCATTTAACACTTGCAAATATGAGAGAAAGCCTGATATATTTTGTAGCATGATCATTTTGTGTAACATACAATCTTTATTTTAATATGTTTTTCTTTAATGGACATAATTTTTTCCTACATGTGAAAAAATGTGGTGTGTGTGTTCCTACATATGAAAGTATAACCTACTCAGTCTACAACTTGATATTGAATGATTTCAGAGCTCACCATTTGGTACAGGATACCCTGTTGTGTTCTTCCAAAAGGGAAGCATTTCATAGTTTCCAATAGTTCTTAGCATATGGTTGAGGCAGCCTGGGCTTTCTCACATCTCCACATCTGCCTTGTTTCCACAGCTTGAAGCACAGAGCCACAGCTCAAGTGATGCTTCTGACTAACAACACTGAAATTACAGAATTCATTTTACTGGGGCTCACAGATCGCCCAGAACTCCAGCCTCTCCTCTTCGTGCTGTTTCTGTTTGTTTACCTTGTCACTGTCTTAGGCAACATGGGCATGATGGCCCTGATCAGACTGGATTCCCGCCTTCACACGCCCATGTACTTCTTCCTCAGTAACCTGGCATTTGTGGATCTGTGTTATACATCAACTGCTACCCCACAGATGCTGAGTAATTTCTTATCAGAAAAGAAGAGCATTTCTTTTATTGGGTGCTTTATCCAGTGCTATCTTTTCATTGCCCTTCTCCTCACAGAGTTCTACATGCTGGCAGCCATGGCCTATGACCGCTATGTGGCTATATGCAATCCTCTGCGTTATAATGTAAAAATGTCCAGGCAAGTCTGCATCTGCTTGGCCACATGTCCTTATGTTTATGGCTTCTCAGATGGGCTGTTCCAAGCCATCCTGACCTTCAGCATGACCTTCTGTAAATCCAATGTCATCAACCACTTCTACTGTGCTGACCCACCACTCATTAAGCTGTCTTGTTCAGATACTTACATAAAAGAGCATGCCATGTTGATATCGGCAAGCTTTAACCTTTCGAGTTCCCTCACCATCATCCTGGTGTCTTATGCCTTCATTATTGCTGCCATCTTAAGGATCAAATCTGCTGAAGGAAGACGCAAGGCTTTCTCCACCTGTGGTTCCCACATGATGGCTGTCACATTGTTTTATGGAACCCTCTTCTGCATGTATGTAAGACCACCCACTGACAAGACTGTTGAGGAGTCCAAAATGATAGCTGTCTTCTACACCTTTGTGAGTCCAGTGTTGAATCCACTGATCTACAGCCTGAGGAATAAGGATGTGAAGCAGGCCCTGAAGACAGTCCTCAGGCGAAACGTTGTCAGGGCAGCACTCATGCCTCCAGGTTCCAAGAAACTGCAACTGTAGATTTGTGTCAAATGTATTTGTATTTTCATGTTTAGGTCTTTTTATTGTTGTTGTTTGTTTTTGACATTTTTGTACAAATGTATACATGTATACAAAGTAATATTCTCATATTTATTTACAATTTTCTCCTTCCTTCACATATCTCTATGTCCCTTTCTAATAATATCACACACACAAAAACATACACACATACACACACACAACATGTTTTGAATTGTAGGTATTTGATAAAAAATATTTTATTTAATCTTGACCTTAACCATGATATTCATGGGACAGTGAAATTCAGTTTACACAATTTATTTGACTAGATCAAGAATCACCTAGAAGTCACACCTCTTGGTAGGCCAGTGTAGGTATTTCCAGAGGGATTAAACTGAAGCAACAAGACATGTCTTGGAAAGGGACAGTAACATGTGATGTCTTGAGATTTTGATCTTAATGTAAAGTAGCACAGGAGAAATCATGTATACAGTCATTCAATTTCTCTGTTTTATTTTTTATTATTATTTATTTATATATTTATTGATTATTACAATTGATTTTTCTTTGTATCCCAGCTGTAGCCCCCTCCCTCTTGCTCTTCCAGTCCTACATTCCCTCCCTCTTCTTCCTCTATGTCCCTCCCCAAGTCCACTGATAGGGTAGGTCCTCCTCCCCTTCCCTCTGACCTTAGCCTATCATGTCTCATCAGAACTGGTTGCATTGTCTTCCACTGAGGACTGGTAAGGCTGCTCCAGCAGAGGGAAATGATCAAAGAGCCAGTCACTGAGTTCATGTCAGAGACAGCCCCTGTTCCCCTTACTAGGAAAAGCACTTGGAGGCTGAGCTGCCATGGGCTACATCTGAGGAAGGGGTCTAAGTTATCTCCGTGCATGGTCCTTGCTTGGAGTATCAGTCTTTGCAAAGACCCCTGGGCCCATATTTTTTGGTTCTGTTTGTTTTCTTAATGTGAGCACAAAATAACCAAACCACCTCTCTCTCCTGTCTGTGTGTCTTTCCACTGCAGGAAATATATACCATCTTAAACTATGCGCCCAAATAAGTCTTTTTTCCCTTAAATTGTACCTGTCAGGCCTTTTCTCAAATAAAAAAGCAAGCACCAGTAACACAGATATTGTTGGAGGAGCTGTTAAAATGTTGAATAAAATCCCACCTCAGATATATGTTCCAATCTGCATTGTAGACAGATCCCGAGGAGATGGACAGGGAGATGCAATTAAGAGGACGATTCTAAGTGGAAACTTCTAAGTGCTTTGCTATGTGGGGTTCCCCATCTCCCCGTGGCACTTGTTTACAAGGCTAGATAGGATATACAGGCTCTCTGCTCTGTTCCTTCCATGGTTAGACCCCTCTGTCTTTTTGCTGAAGGACCTTTAAAAGACAGCGGTACATCTGTACTCCCCACCTCCTTACTAGGTAAAGTGAGGAACAGCATCATGAGAGTGCTCCTCTGTGTCTTTTTTAATATTGTATTTTAAATTTTATTCACTTTTTATCCTGGCTGTAGGCCCCTCCCTCTTCTCCTCCTGGTCTGTGCTCCTTCCCTCTCTCTCATCCTCATCCTTCCCCCATAGTCCACTGATAGGTGAGGTCCTCTTACCTTACTGTCTGACCCTAGCTATCAGGTCTCATCAGGACTGCCTGGATCCTCTTCCTCTGAGGGCTGGCTAGGTAGCCTCACCAGGAAGAAGTGATCAAAAAGTAGTCAACAACTACTAGTCCATGTCAGAGACAGCTCCTGCTCCCCTTACTAGGAAACCCACATAGAGAGACTGAGCTGCCTATGGGCTACATCTGAGCAGGGGTCTAGATCTTCTCCATGTGTGGTCCTTGGTTGATGTATCAGTCTCTGCAGGGCCCCCAAGGTCCTGCCTGCAGGACCAAGCATTTTTGGCTTTGTTGTTCTCCTTGTGGAGCTCCTGTCCCGTCTGGGCTCTTCCATTTTTTTTTTTTTTTTTTTTTTTTTTACTAGTATGCTTCTGTGGAGAAGGAATCATTCACGTACATGAAACTGGTGGATTATATTTTTATAGATGTAAGCCTGTGGATCGAGGTTTCTGTGTTTTTATAAGCCTGCATTCTGCTATGAATCAGGGCTGGCATTTCACTTTTGGTTTCATCTTCATCTGACAATTTCAAGAAGATCGATCTGAGAATAAAAATTAAAATCAGAAAGGAACAAATACAGAAACTGAATAATCAAAAAGTTATACCAGATAGTGATTACTTTGTATTGACTATTCCTTCTCTTTCTAACTACACTTGGTGTAGCAATGTTCGTTTTATTTTTTGTAAGTGCACACAGCACATGCCATGCTTATATATACTTTGGTTTTGAAGATTTTGCACAAGCAGTCAAATACACTGCTATGGCTAAACAAAACAAAACAAAACAAAAATCTCAAAACTAAACAGGGCAAATTTGCCCTCAGGATTTGTGCTAAAGCAAATGAATTAAGGGAACAACACAGACCTGTTTCACCAAACTATCTTACTGTTCTAATGTACTGAATACGTTGTAAATGACATGCTGCAAAGAAATAAAATACCCTTCATTTAATTCTTACTCAGTGCTTATACATTTTTGTGTAGAGCTCTACTCCCTATTCTGTGGCTGCGTGTGCACCATGTGGCTGACCTTCATGTTAGATTAACTGAAAAGACAAGTTTTTAAATTAATTTTTAATTTTTTTATATTAATTACAGTTCATTTACTTTGTATCCCAACTATAGCCCCTTCCTCATTCCCTACCACTAGTGGATACTAGACCTATAATATAGGATAAAAATGGTTTTTTTTTCTTCTTCTTCTTCTTCTTGTTTTCTTCTTCCCTAGAAAACTGCTAGGATTTACACATTGTCTTCCCTAGAGTTGTTTGTGTGTATGTGTGTGTGTGTGTGTGTGTGTGTGTGTTTTAAACTTTTGTAAAATTGCCCTCAAGTTTTAATTGGAGTTTGTTCTTTTTTATTTTATTTTTAAATAAATTTTTATTTTTATATTAATTGCAGTTTATTTATTTTGTATTCCAGCTGGAGCCCCGTCCCTCATTCCCTCCCAATTCCAGCTTCCCTCATTTCTTCCCATGCCCCTCCCCCAGTCCACTGATAGGGGAGGTCCTCCTCCTCTTCCATTTGACCCTAGCTTATCAGGTCTCATCAGGACTGGCTGCATTGTCCTCCTCTGTGGCCTGATAAGGCTGCATCCCCCCTTAGGGGAAGGTGATCAAAGAGCCAGCCACTGAGTTCATGTCAGAGACTGTCCCTGTTCACCTTACTAGGTAACCCATTTGGATACTGACCCACCATGGGCTATATCTAAGCAGGGGTTCTAGGTTATCTGCATGCATGGTCCTTGGTTGGAGTGTCAGTCTCAGAAAAGATTCCTGGGCCCAGATATTTTGGTTCTGTTGCTCTCCTTATGGAGCTCCTGTCCTCTCCAGGTCTTTCTATCTCCCCCTTGTTTCAAAGGATTCCCTGCACTCTGCCTAAAGTTTGGTTATGAGTCTCAGCATCCCCTGTAATACCATGCTGGGCAGAGGCTTTCAGAGGCCCTATGTGGTAGGCTCCTATCCTGTTTCCTGTTTTCTCTCTCTTCCAATGTCCAACGCGTTTGTCTTTCTGAGTGAGGATTAAAAAATAAGTAAACTAATAGATTTGTTTGTATACTAGAAGATACATGGTAGTATAATTTTATTTAGTTTTAATATTAGATATAGTTGTCTGCATGAAAAGTAGAAATGTGTTTATTCTCCATCTGTTCTTTCATTTGCCCTTTATTTTCATGTGTTGGCAAAATAATTACTTGTTGTTAAGTTCTATTCTTATTATGTTGTCAGGAAATATTAATTCTACACATCTAAGCCTAACATATGAAACCAGTGTTTCTCAACATGTGGGCTGCAACTCCTTTTGGGGTGAACAGAACTTTCACAGAGGTCCCATATCAGATATCCTGTATATCAGAGATCCACATTACAGTTCCTAACAGTAGCAAAATTACAGTTTTTAGGTAGTAACAAACAGTCTTAGAGTTGGGGGCCACCAATACATGAGGAACTGTATTAAAGGGTCACAACATTAGGAAGGTTGAGAAGCACGTTAAAGTAATTCTACTATAACTCTATTCATAGTCTTTCCAAACAGTAATAATTTTACTCAGTCTGTTTTGTAATTTAACAACTTAGCTCCAGGTATTTTTAAGAAAATTGATAAAGCACACATTTCAGCTTGGGAAAAATCTTAGAAACATCAGAGTCCTTGAATTATGTCATAATATTAGGCTGTGATTAATTGTTCAACTCATCTTTATGAAAGAAACAGACTTATTTTAAAATATTCCCTTGAGTATCAATTCTTGAAACATTCAGCTCAAGGTGATTTTTCACAAGCTGATACATCTCCATTGTTCAACTCCCTACGTTCTAGTGAGGGAATATTTATACCAATTACTACTTTTCCTTAATTAATTCTTTGGGGTATGTGGAAGATTATTTTGGAGATAAAAACTCCAGGTTACAAATTTGGTGTAGATAGGGTTCAGCAACTTCTTGCTTGGGTTGCTAGTGTCTCAGGAATAATTTTTTTCTGGGCAAGGTAGGAAAAACTATATAATATCTGTGTTGACACATTTGTTTTTATATCATTTTGGATATTTATTACTTGAAGTCAGTTATCAGTGTTAATGTTAATCTAGGGTCTTATCTTGCTGAAATAAGTATTTACTTAGCATTTAGATCAGTAATAAAATGTTGAAAATTTTGTAATAATCATAATACTACACAAATAACATTTTCATTATTAATTCAAAACAAAAAATATGTACTAAATAAGTATGCCAAAAGAGACATTAGAATTTCTCATCATATTAATATTTTTATAATAATTTCTGTTGAAAGATAGACACATGCACTTCTTTCTTAATACTCAAAAAGAAAAATATAAACTGATTTTTTTTTCGTTCTATTGAAAAACTATTGTAGAGAGGAGGGAGGGAGGGAGGGACTGGGAGGGAATGAGGGATCGGGACACGGCTGGGACACAGAGTTAATAAAATGTAACTGATAAGAAAAAAATAAAAAAAAAACTGGAAAAAAAAGAAAAACTATTGTAGAAGTTCAAAAGTCTTATCACTAAGTGATTGGAAGAAATTTTTATTGACATGGTATTTTTCTTTTTCTTCATTGTCTTAACATTTGTCTTAACATTAAATTCCAGAGTTCCATATGTTTTCCTACAAATGACAGAACTTCCTTCATTCATGTGATAGAATAAAACTCTATTAAAGAGCACAATATTTCAATTAGCCACCTTGAAATGGATGTGAATTTAATCGACTACTAAGCTTTATAAGAAATTCTGTTATACAGAGAATTTTTAAGCTGTAAATGTTTCCATGTTATACATTACAACACAAAAATATCTAGGAATTTTTTTTGCATTGGTAATAATTTCTACTTCTATGAAATCTTTCATTTTTTTTCTCATAACCCAAAATATAAATTTGTGCTGAATGCTCATGGTATAGTCATTAGCAAAGTTTTGTTTCTACCCTTAGAATGCTAATATGAAAACTGTTTGTGAATATATAGGTGTATGGGATGTCCTGGAAAGATGAATATAAAGAGACTTATTAGATTCATATATGCAGAGAGTATGTAAGAAATGCCTCACAAAGGAAGTTAAATATGCTTAGCATTGTGGGATTGTTATACTGTGAGGCAAAATGAAGATCAGAGAGACAGGGCTGATGCATCAAAAATTTACAATGGATTAGTATTGTGATGCAGTTAGAAGCACATCCAAAGGAATGGAAACCAAAGTTAAATAGGGATTAGTAGAAATATAAACAGAATTATTGTATAATTTGCTTTCAATGTATGTAATATATTAAGAAAAACATGATTTTTTAAAAATTTTTATTTAACTTTTATTAATTACACTTTATTCATTTTGTAGCCCCCCATTAGCCCCTCCCTCCTCCCTTTCCAATCCCACCCTCCCTTCCCTTTCTTCATGCATGCCCCTCCCCAAGTCCACTGATAGGGGAGGTCAAAGAGCAGGCCAATCAGATTATGTCAGAGGCAGTCCCTCTTCCCATTATTATGTAACCCGCTTGGACACTGAATTGCCATGGGCTACATCTGTGCAGGGGTTCTAGGTTATCTCCACGAATAGTCCTTGGTTGGAGTATGAGTCTCTGGGAAGTTCCCTGTGTTCAAATTTTCTTGTTCTGTTGCTCTCCTTGTGGAGTTCCTGTCCTCTTCAGCTCTTGCTATTTCCCACTTCTTACCTAAAATTCCATTCACTCTGCCCATCAGTTGGCCATCAGGCTCAGCATCTGCTTTGATAGTCTGCAGGGCAGAGGCTTTCAGAGGTCCTCTGTGGCAGAACTGAAGAATGAATGGATGCAGAAATTGTGATACATCAATACAATGGAGTATTACTCAGCAATGAAAAATAAGGAAATCATGAAATTTGCAGGTAAATGGTGGGACCTGGAAAGGATCATCCTGAGTGAGTTGTCCCAGAAGCAAAAAGACACAGACGGTATATACTCACTCATATAAACATACAACATAGGAAAAACATGATTTTAACTATCATTATTTTTCACTTTTTTAAAAATTTATTATAATTGATTCACTCTGTATCCCAAGTGTAGCTCCCTCTTTTGTCCCCTCGCAATTCCACCCTCCCTCCCTTTTCTCCTCACATGCTCCGCCCGAAGTCCACTGATAGGGGTGTTCCTCCTCTCTTCCATCTTAACCTGTACTATCAAATCTCATCAGGATTGGCTGCATTGTCTTCCTCTGTAGCCTGGTAAGGCTGCTCACCCCTCAGAGGGAGATGTTCAAAGAGCCAGACACTGAGTTCTTGTCAGAGACAGTCCCTGCTCCCCTTACCAAGGCACCCACTTGGAGACTGATCTGCCATAGGCTATATCTGAGCAGAGGTTCTATGTTATCTTTTTTATCTCTATGAAATCTGTACACCTAAAGAAGCTAAGCAATAAGGAGGACCCTAGGGAAGATGCTTAAGCCTCATTCAGAAGGGCGAAAGGGATAGGGTTCAGAAGTAGGAGAAGACAGGGAAAAGGACAGGAGCCTACCACAGAAGGCCTCTGAAAGAGTATGTAATACCCTGCTCTGCAGGGTATTAAAGCAGATGATGAGACTCATAGTCAAACTTTGGGCGGAGTGCAGGGAATCTTATGCAAAAATGGGGAGATAGAAAGACCTAGAGGGTACAGGAGCTCCACAAGGAGAGCAACAGAACCAAAAAATCTGGGCCCAGGGTCTTTTCTCAGACCAATAGTGTTGTTATTTTTAATCTCCACATCTGCCTTGTTTCCACAGCTTGAAGCACAGAGCCACAGCTCAAGAGATGCTTCTGACTAACAACACTGAAATTACAGAATTCATTTTACTGGGGCTCACAGATCGCCCAGAACTCCAGCCTCTCCTCTTCGTGCTGTTTCTGTTTGTTTACCTTGTCACTGTCTTAGGCAACATGGGCATGATGGCCCTGATCAGACTGGATTCCCGCCTTCACACGCCCATGTACTTCTTCCTCAGTAACCTGGCATTTGTGGATCTGTGTTATACGTCAAACGCTACCCCACAGATGCTGAGTAATTTCTTATCAGAAAAGAAGAGCATTTCTTTTATTGGGTGCTTTATCCAGTGCTATCTTTTCATTGCCCTTCTCCTCACAGAGTTCTACATGCTGGCAGCCATGGCCTATGACCGCTATGTGGCTATATGCAATCCTCTGCGTTATAGTGTAAAAATGTCCAGGCAAGTCTGCATCTGCTTGGCCACATGTCCTTATGTTTATGGCTTCTCAGATGGGCTGTTCCAAGCCATCCTGACCTTCAGCATGACCTTCTGTAAATCCAATGTCATCAACCACTTCTACTGTGCTGACCCACCACTCATTAAGCTGTCTTGTTCAGATACTTACATAAAAGAGCATGCCATGTTGATATCAGCTGGTCTCAACCTCTCCAACTCACTCACCATCATCCTGGTGTCTTATGCCTTCATTATTGCTGCCATCTTAAGGATCAAATCTGCTGAAGGAAGACGCAAGGCTTTCTCCACCTGTGGTTCCCACATGATGGCTGTCACATTGTTTTATGGAACCCTCTTCTGCATGTATGTCAGACCACCCACTGACAAGACTGTTGAGGAGTCCAAAATGATAGCTGTCTTCTACACCTTTGTGAGTCCAGTGTTGAATCCACTGATCTACAGCCTGAGGAATAAGGATGTGAAGCAGGCCCTGAAGACAGTCCTCAGGCGAAACGTTGTCAGGGCAGCACTCATGCCTCCAGGTTCCAAGAAACTGCAACTGTAGTTCATTATAAATATATTTGTATTTTGATGCGTTTTTAATATTCTCTAAGACCATGTATTTGGTGTCCTAGCTAGATGTTCTTTGTTTTGAGGGATACCATCTGTTCATGTTCAAATCCATGTGATAGACAGATCCTCAGATTAATAGGCTCATCATATTAAGAGAAGGACTATTCTAAGTGCAAGCTTCCAAGTGCTTTGCTATGCAGGGTCTGGCCCCATCTCCACAGGGCACTTGTTTACAAGAGTTAACAGTATATACAGGCTCTCGGCTCAATTCTTTCCATTGGTAGACCATCATTCTCTTTTCTGAAAGACCTTTAAGAAACAGTGGTACACCTGCACTCCACACTTACTTACTAGTTAAAGTGAGGAAAAGCGTCATCAGAGTGTTGTTCTGTTTTTTTTCCTGATGTGTTTCTGTGGAAGCACATCACAGAAGGAGCCCTACAAGAAGCATGAAACTGAGGGACATTGCTTTTGCAAATGTAAAACCGTGGATCGAGCATTCTGTGTTTTGTCAGCCTACTTTCTGCTAGCATTCAGGTTTGGAATATCACTTTTGTTGTCATCGTTGTCTGGTCTGAGAGTAAACATTAAAATTAGAAAGTGGGAGACAGGAAAGCTGAGCAATAAATAAAACATGGCAGATTGTGATTCCTTGTACTGACTGGTCCTTCCATTTCCAATTACTTTTAGGATGCTAATGTTTCTTTTATTCTTTGTAATATATGCTATTGAACATTTTTTCTGTAAACAAACAAATAACTATTGCTTCCCTGCTGACACACCTCATCCTTCATAATTTTAAGATTTTGAAACTAAATTTCTATGTCTATGATTATTCACATTTTTTATGAGAAATTTTGGTATAGTTTGTTTCCTGGACAGAAAATCAAACATGAATGCATTATCATATTTATTGATAGACTTGGTGTCCTGAATTCTTGCTGAAAATTTTTAGTATGTTTAAGAGATGTCTAGGTAAGATGATCAATCCTCACTTAGAAAGACAAATGGGATGAACATTGGAAGTAGGAGAAAACAAGTAACAGGACAGGAACCTACCACAGAGGGCCCTTGAAAGACTCTACCTAGCAGTGTAATAAAGCAGATGCTGAGACTCATAGCCAAACCTTCGGTAGAGTGTAGGGAATCATATGAAAGAAGGGAGAATTAGTATGACCTGGAGAGGACAGGAGCTCCACAAGAACCTAATATATCTGGGCACAGGGGTCTTTTATGAGACTGTTTCTACAACCAAGGACAATATATGGATATAATCTAGAACCCCTGCTCGGATGTAGCCCATGGTGGTTCAGTATCTAAGTGGGTTCCCTAATAAGGGGAACAGGGACTATTTCTGACATGAACTCAATGGCTGACTCTTTGACCCTCCCCACACCCCCTGAGGGAGGATCAGCCTTGCTAGGCCACAAAGGTGGACATTGCAGCCAGTCCTGAAAAAACCTGATAAGCTAGGGTCACATGGAAGGGGAGGAGGACCTCCCCTATCTGTGGACTTGGAAAGGGGCAGGGAGGAGATGAGGGAGGGAGGGTGGGATGGGAGGGAACGAGGGAGCAGGCTACAGATGGGATACAAAGTTAATAAACTGTAACTAATATCTAAAAAATAAAATAAATAAAAAGATGTCTATTCTGAATAAACTTGCTTTCTAATAAATTTATTGATTTTGCTGGTCTAGTAACTAATTAAAACAATAAAATATTAGAAAGTATCTATTTTATATTGAATCTTGTTATGTGACCACTTAGTCCTTCTGTCATTTTAAGGGATTGTGCAGTAAACAATTCTAACTTTGAAAGAATCATAGAAAAATCAAAGTTTATGAATTATGTGAAAACAACATACCATTACTAATTGTTGTAGCCATTTTCTTGCAATAAATAGTGATTCCCAATGAAAAAATCCCCTGAGAATCGATTCATAAACACACAAAATATGCAGCCCAAGATGAGTACAAGGTGATGCAATACCACTGCTCAAATCCCCAGGTTCTAGCGAGTGCATCTCTAAACCAATTACTGCGTTTTCTTCAATTATTTCTTTGGAGGGTTTTAAAATACTTTGGGGACAAACACTCCCAAATACAAATAGGGCATAAACCATTTTCAACAGCTCCTTGTTTGGACATCTAATGCTTCTGTGAGAATTTTTTTCTAAGTTCAGGTAGGAGTGCAAATCATGACCTCTGTAGTACTAATTTGTCTGTTTGTTTCAGTTTGGATATTCAACGTGAAGAGTCAAATGTCAACAAAACTCCTTGAATACTAGTTTAGGATCTTACCTTGCTGAAATAGTTGAGCATGTATGTGTTATATAGATTGATTACAAAAATATTAAAATTTTATTGAAATTATGTGATAATCATTCTGTTTGACAAATTACATTTCAATGATTAATTCAAAAGAAATTATTAATCTCACTGACATTTTCAGAATATGTTTAAAGGGAAATTTTCTAATACCCACAAAACCATTTCATCAAAAATTAATGAAAAAAGGCCATAATTTTGGAAGGGAGAAAGGAGGGGTATATGAGAAGCTTCAGAGGGATGAAAGAGAAGAGAGAAGTGAAGTAATTATATACAATCTCAAAAATAAAGAAAATAATAAAAATCAAAAGGAAGACTATGTTGAATTATATTCCTGTAAATATAAAACTATTATAGAACTTTTAAAGGTTTATCTTTAAATTATTGGAGAGAGAAAATTGGGATCAAAGTTAATATATCTAAAGGTACATTAGTAATTATGAGTTTAGAATTGGTAGACACAAAATTGTAAGATAGGCATCATAGAAGTGGAAGGTGCTGTGGGAACTGCTCAATGTCTGTCACTGAACAGACAGGTAATCCAAATATCATAGAAAGCATGTGACTCTGTGAAGGGAGACCTTATGATCTAATTAGTCTTAAAGGAGTTTTACTAATAACATAGAAAATTGTGTTCATTGTCTTATTGACCTAGACTTCAGTGTTGTTCATTGTAAAGAGGAGATATCCCTTGTCCTCTTATTTGAGAAGCATCGAAACCCAGAAGAGGATGGAAGTGCTCGATTCTGTGGTGGAAGGGCATACAAGAACAATGTGCACCCCTAAAGGTTGTGCATAGGAACTACACGGTGTCTTAACTATCCGGCTTATCCATCTGTTTTTATTTTGTACCTTACAATCTCATTTTCTCAACTATTCTCACTATCTTCTGTATATCTTTATGTTCAACCAGATAATTAAGTGCCCAGATACTGGATTTTAAATTCAATAACCTTGTTTTAATTTCTCTGCCCCTTTCCTTGACTAAAATTGCGTCTATTTTCCCACTCCATGAAATTTATATGGGCAAATAACAGCTTTTGTGTATGAGATGGTATATACATGTTTAGTGATTTTTAAAAATTTTAGGAAACTCAGCTACTCTGCTAACATGAATTTATTTATTTATTTATTTATTTATTTATTTATTTATTTGTTTATTTATTTTAACCATGAAATTTTTATATAGACCAGTTCCAGAGAAGAGGATATGGACACTTCATCTAACAGTAATTCAGATACCAAAGATATCTGTAAAGCTGATTTTATAGATGTATGTATGTTTCTCAATTATTGTAGATTGCACTTTTTGTCTAATTTGTAAGCTAGAAATTCTAGTAACTCAAAATTTCACTTATATATTCACAATGCATCCTGACTTAACACAACAGTCTTTTCTATTTAAAAGACTATATAACTTGCCAATTAATGCGATTAATTTTTAGATTTTCATTTAGAAAATAAACATATATTTTGGATATATTAAATTATTAAATTTATGTTTAAATTTTTCAATCTAGAGAGAAGTTGATGTTGTGGAGCCAGTGAAATTTTGTTTTATTTGCTTTTATAAAGAATATACATGTTGGGCTGGAGAGATGGCTCAACCATTAAAGGCTAGGCTCACAACCAAAGCTATAAGAATATCCATGTTTAAATATCTCATCAGTATACATGCTGATTCATAATTACTAATAAAGTTTAAATAGGTCATCAATGTCATAAAGATGTGGCAGTTTGGAAGGATGACTGTGTCGACTGTCTTCCCTCATAATCTCTCTGTGACATTTCTTATATACATTGAATAGCTTCCATTTCAATTGAAAGTCTCCAGTGGAATGACTCCATGTAGAATGTTCAAATTACTTGAGAATCCATATACTCTCGTCTTTCTAGACAATTATTATAAATGCCTCAAACCTCAGATCAGCTCCATTGTTCGTCAATGTCTATCCTAATTTTTAAATGCAAATATCTACTTAATTCAAATACTTATTGTTGAACTATGACATTTAACTATGGTTTTCATCACTCTTATCATATGACACCCACCAGCTTTTTCAATTCAAAAACCATTACTGGTTACCTTATTTTTTTCACCAGTAAATAACCTCTATGCATGTGATGTTCAGCATTGCTGTGTACTAGGTTATCTTAATTAAGTATGCAGCATGCGGAGGGCACTATCAAGTCAAGGCACAGAATTTGTACTTGGGTTTGACTCCGCTGCCATGAACAGCTTGTGTATTGGAAACATAGCTGGTGAATTGGACAGCAGGTGGGACTGTTATTTGTACCATAGTAGAACAAGCCTGCAGATTTCTATTTTGTGCCTTGACGGAGGACAGGTTGAAAAATAACATTAACTTCTAACAATATTTTGGTAGATTTTCCATAAAAATGAATGCTAATACTTAAATTAGGAATCCCAAAAGACAGCAGAACACAGGGCACATAGTACCGTAAAGTCCAAGTCCATCCCACAGTCAGAGTTGCTGTTTACATGGAAACTGTTCTCATTTCAATTGACTCTGAATTCCCCACTTTGCTCAGTTTGATAGATAACATAAAAAGCTCTGATATTCAGCTGAATTTTACTCTTATACAATCTAGTCCAAAGCTTTTTTAAAAGCTGGATATAGTAAACAAATCTGTAACTAAAATC